AGGAGTCGTTGTTATCTTAGAGGAGCAGGGTGTTGTTTACAGGGTGAATCTGGCACACGCTTTTCTTAAGAGCTCTCCAAAAGGCTCCTATCACTTCATTTTAAAGTATGGAGAAGTGCTCATCCACTCGTCCTGCCAGCAAGCACCCTCAACCCTCCTCTTCACCCTGCCCCCATCCCCGCCCCTCTGCCCCCGACCACTGCCCTGCTCACCCCTGCGCTGAGGGACAATGGCTCACTTTGAAAGAAAAGCAGGAAGAAAGAGGAGCCCGGTGTCACTGAATTGCCTGTTTGCTGACGGAATCTCTAAAAGCAGCACCTCATAAATCAAAAAAAGAACATAATGGTCATTGTTTCTCCAAGAGCTACTTGTCCCTTTAAAAAAAGATCTTTTTTTTTTTGCTGGGGAAAGAGGGAGCAGAGTCAAGAGGTGGAGATTTTTTATTAGTTGGGGTCCTTTTCTTGTCGATTTGGCGCTTTAGGAGTTTCCTTACCACTTTTCTTTCTCTCTTGGTGTCAGACCATCCCCTGGCTTTGTGCTCCTGCAACCCCCCCTCCACATAACAACTAGATGTTTTTTCTTTTTCCCCTCACAAAAAAAAGCATTCCCCGAGCTTGGATCAGCATAATCTGTCACTTTGCACATTGTAACTCAGGCCTCCTCCCTATCTCCACGCTGCATTGTCACGTTGAAATCGGATTAAATGGGGAGCCATTTGCCTTCTCCGGTTAGTCGTAGACTCTTTTTGTATGTTGGCACAGAGAACGATGAAAAGCTTGCAGCCAGTATCGCCGTTGTGCATCAAGAGAAATGACAAACAGCATGCAGTATGAGTCAGGCGTGTTTGGGTTGTACTCTTTGATTTGCTGCAGGAACACGTCGAGTTTGGGGTGCGGCTTTTAAAAAGCAGCTTTTTATCATCAGAAATGTGGCGCGCCTCCATAAAAGGCGTGCACAGGATCTGTTTTGATTTCAGCGGGCTATTAATAAGCTTCTGCTTTTGATTCATTCACCCCTCTGCCGTGTCAGCAATCAAGATGATGTTATCATAATTAGATCACTGGCTCTGCATTAGGATTACACAAATCTGCCATCACCATTTCCATAAAGCATTTTAATTGCTACCTAATATTACATTTGTTGTTTTTTTTTTCTAAAGACGGCCTCCTTTTTATGCAGAGACTCTTGGATACTAATCTCAGCGCTGACAGAGAGCTTATGCTCCATAAATTAGCATTTGGCCGGATGAAGATGAACTAGTTTTCAGGTGTAATTCGGAAAGCAGCCAAAGCTCCAGGAACAGATGCAGCAAATTCTTTTTTTTTTCACCTTTAAGTTTGCAAATATATTGTATAGGATTACAGCAGATTTCTGTGGGATTTGTCTCCACAGTAGTATCAGCGCCATATATCGGTGTTAAAACCTTAAAACAAAGGCTCGCTTTAGGGTGCTGCAGCATTCTTATCTGTAACGGTGTATTCACCCTGATAGATCAGTTCTCTCTGTTATCACTAAAATCCTTTGTGTTTATTTGTTTTTTTATTCCTCCTTCCTATTATTATTGCTGTTCCCTCTTGTTGTTCTTTATCCTCTTCTGATTTTAGCTAATTCCCATCTCCTAACGAAACCACCTATCCTAAACATTTGACTGCTGTTAAAAATACTTTACTTTAAAATGAGGAATGTCTTATGGAAGCCTAGTAGTTGTCGGTATAATATGAAGACAACTAAATAATTTAAACCTAATGAGTAACTTCAGCCTTTAAATAGGAGTGATGGCACTGGATTACAAAGCCTGCACTTTCCACATTTAGTCATTAGTTTCTTTTAACAATGTTTACCAAGATTTTCATGCAATATCTGCGATACTTTAAGCCGGGCACACACTGTTCGATTTTTTTCAGTCGTTGCACGCAGCTGCAACTCACACTGTACGACGACACCCTGAGGTTTTGTCGTACAGTGTGAGTTCAAAGCTCACAATGCTCTGATCTGATCTACCTGCTCACACTGAACGTCTAAAAACCACATCGGACTCAGCCCCGGAGAGAGATGGCGCTACTGTGACTCATCTATTGGGAAGCCAAACCAGTAGAAGAGGAATATGAGGCTCACTAGAGTGAAATGCAATGTTTTGGCAATTTTGCAATTTTGTGCTGAAAGCCCTAAAAAGAAAAGGCGACGAAGTATTTGGACAAAGACATGGCTACTATGGTCTGTCAATTTTACAGATAGAACTCCATTTCACTCGCACCCCCGCCGTGATTCTGTGTTTTCATCTGAGAAGAAGAAGAATCCTTGTTTGCGCACTGAGTAATTTGCCCCCGACGGTCGACTGAAAATCAAACATGTTTAATTTTCTCCCGACCATAAGATTCCTGATCGAGAGGTGGTCACGAGAGGCTGATCGCCCCTCGTTACGCCCTGTACATTAAACAAAGCACGATCAGGCTGAAAGTCGGGCCGATCGGAAAATTCTCGCACAACTGGAAAGTCGGTAACCTGACTCCGCCAGATGGATTTGCTCCGCATATCCATCTGGAAACCTTCTGTAGAAGGAATTTTGGGAAGGGGTGAAAATACTGGTTAGCTGATTGGCCTATGTTGGTGATAGACGGGCCAAATAAACCAATCAGATCAACGAAGCATATGACGTACTAACAG